TTATATTGCGCATAGGACATTGTGAATTTCAAGTTCATTTGACTTCAGGTAATATATTGTCTCATATGAGCTTGTACTACTCTGAGCCTCGCATTTACTCTGGGCGCGCAAGAGTCAAGACCATGGTTTTGATGTTAGCTTGGTTTCTTGTAATGGTCTCATCTTTTGCAAATCTAAACTTCTTAAGAGATTCTTAAAATGCCTAAATGTTTTCATCCAACTCATATTGTGAAGTTTTTTCTTCATACCATTTTTTCTATTTTCGTTTTACCGTATTAAAAAAAAAAAACTGCTTGATAGAGATTTTTTAAAATAAATTTTGTCAAAAAATCTTTTTTTAAGAACATATGATTAAAAAAAAGTAGTGAAAAATATAAAATTAATATACAAAATTATTTTAGTGGAAAAATAAATGATTACAAATATATTTAGGAAAAAATAAAATTAAAAAAATAGAATAATTTTTTTAATACCTTGGACACTATGCCACTGAATTATTAAACATACGACCAGTTTTCAAATATGTGCTGTCATTTTCAATCATATCAAGCAATATATTGAATGCAATGTAGTTTATTTAAAATTGATAAATCTACAGGTACATAAAGATATCTTCCACTCATATGGAGTGGGGTCCATCATAATAAAATATTCTAATGGACTCCACCCCATGTGAGTGGAGGACATTTTGATGTACAAAAAATTATGTACATCAAGCAAGATCCATTTAAAAATTATATATATTTTTTTCAAATTTATTTTCATCCACACATTTTTACAATAATATAATTGTGCATTTGGATCGATAATTATTCTCAACTTTTTAATTACACATTCTTAAAAAAAATATTTTTTTTTCACTTCAAATAATCTTTCTTCAAACAAATATTCTTTTCTTGCACTAACATTAATCCATATCATTGAGACGTGACGATAATAAGCCCCTATTTGACAACCTTTAAAAATTTAAATTATTTGCTCTATAGTATCATTCTTCAACATACATTCACAAAATAAAATATGTGGAAATTACGCAAAATCATACTTTAAAAATCCAACATTCTAAAATCAGATGGCAAGTTTAACAATTTAAAAATCAAAATTTTTATTTTAATCAATATTTTTATTAACAAAAATCCCAAATCCTAATAAAACAAAATTTATATACCCACCACCAACCCCCAAATCGAATTCATCTCTCTCTCTCTCCTTTATCTTCCTCCATTATCAATCGGTAGATAATTGGCAACGTTAGACCTGGCGATACCATCGCCGCGGCCACGCCGATGATACTGTCACTGTCGATGGTTTTGTTGGTAGCGGTGGTAAGGTTGCGGTGATGATTGTGGCGTTGGTTTTGGGCGTCGTTGCTCGCGGCATGAGCGTCGTTTCTGCAGTGGTAAAAGTCGATCAAAGTTGAAGCAGTGTTGGATCTAAATTTGTGGTGGTTGTGGAGTGATTTTGGGGTAGTCGTTGTGGTGTGCTGAGATGGTGCAGGCGGTGGTGGGTTTAGGGATATTGTGGTGGTGTTGATGATGGCGTTGGTGGTTGTGTTGTGTTGGTTGATGGTGTTTGGTGATTTAACGGTGGTTTTGCAGTCGTGGCTATGGTTGCTGTGTTGGTGATGTATGGTGCAATGGTGGTGGTGTGTGTTGCGGTGGTGGTGATGGTGATGGTAGTGTGCCGCTCATATTTTTTTTCAAATTTTCTGCTACGTTGATGTTGTTGCGATGGAGGTGGTCTTTGCAGTGGTGCGGTGACTTTGTTGGATCCAACGATGTTGAAGGTTACGATGGATATGGTGGTGGTTGTCGTTTTGTTGGTGGTGCTGGTGGGAGATATTGTGGGTGGTGAGATGATGGCTATGGTTATAGTGATATGTTGGTGGCCATGGGTCTATTGAGATGGTGGTGAATATGACGTGATGATGTGTTGATTTGAGGTGGTGATGTTGCCATCGAGAGGTGGTGGTGGCTGTAGTTATGGCGGCGACGGTGGCGATGGTAGTGGTTATTGTGACCAACTAATGGGTTGAATGTGATCAATAATTGGTTAATTTGTGTTACATAAATAAATAATGCGTGACCTAAAATTTGTGTTTGTGACTCATAATTTATTAAGTTGTGATCGAAAAATTAATCGTGACTAATTAATCTAAAAATTTGCAATGAATAAATGAGTTGCGACCAATAAAAGTTTTGATTTTGTGATCAATAAAATTTTTGATTCGTGATCGAAAAATAATAGTTGACCTATAAAATTTTTTATTTGTGATCGAAAAATAAGTCGTGA